CTGCCCCACCACAGGTTGCCACCGCTATTGCTTTAACTGCACAGACACAGATCGAATCACAAACTGCATCATCAGCAACAAAAGGACGAAACTTCCAAGCATGGATGACATGAACTAATTTTTGGATTATAGGCTCACCTCCAACCTATGCACCAGATAAAGTCGAACTGTCGATTTCAACAACTCTTGAAGTCAATCCTCTGTATGCGAACTTCACAGTCAGTGCAGACTACGACCCCTACGTGTGGTTTCTTAACAGTTGATGCGCACAACACATGTGCACATCCAATGTTAATAACAATTTCTTCATCAAGCACGAAACTTGACTTCATCAGGAAGTTACTGTCACAGTTGCCAACAACCAGACGTTATGTACCCGACGTCAAGGTACTGTTTCTCTTCAGTCGCTAGAGACCAACACAATAATACAACTCCCTCAAGTTCTTGTCGTACTCGGGCTTGAATACAATCTTCTAAGTGTGAGTCAACTCATGGGATGCAAAGTACACTTGGAGTGTGACCGTGTGAGTCAACTCATGAGGTAAAATTATACTTTGGGGGTTTTTTTACTTTGGGGGTTTGGGGATTCCCGCCAAAGTAAAAAAACGGGAATCCCCAGTAGCCGCGGATCGACATGGCGATCGTGAAAAGATCCAGAAAAAAAGGAAAAGGGCGACGACGTGGCGACTTCGGAGCGGGCGAAAAAAGGAGAAAATGATGGCGCGAATTTGAAACATCACGATCGGCCTCGCCGAGGCGAATGGAGACTCTGCGAAAAAAGACTCTGCACCGACCAGGAAACTCCAGCCGAACACCCACGAAAGTAAGAATTCGTTAAAGTTATCCTATAAAGATACTTTAACTAAGAATATTACTTCTCGTGGTTTTCAAGCCTTTGAAAAAAAATGGGAGAATTTGAGGCCAAGAAAAAAGACTTAAGAAATTATTCAGGTACCTGAGAAGTTGGGCAAAGTACTACGGAGCGTAGAAAAGGGTCGTGCGTTCCGTGGAGTTAATATCCTCTCCCCGCAGCACCGTGTTAAGGCTCCCCATTGCCCACAGGTGAAGCCTACACAGCTGCAAAGGCTTAGAGGAAAATTTCAGGCTCAGGATAAGTTCTACAAGCCTCGGGAAAATCCTCCTACCCCCCAAGTGAAGTTGGAAGCTAAGAGTGCTGAGTTAGGTATAGGAAAAAGGGAAGGTGAGTATTTTGTTGTACCCTATGATCCAACTAATGGTACTATCTTTGGCTACTCAGCGCAGCAGAAACCACTACTCCTTGAGGTGTTATGCAAAGGACAACGCCTCCAAGCACTAATGCGTCCCACTCGGTGTGTAACTGCGCGACGTTGGAGAAATTTGGAGAGAAGGCGGAGGAGAACCTGTTTTCAGCAACAATGGTGGACGATACAATGGCTTCCCATCCACGGCGAAGCATCACTGCAGCTGCACATAGGTGCGTTGAGATGGAAGCCGACGTTGCCGATCATGTAACATCAAAGGGTTAGATTTCATCTTGGGGCGAGATTTCTTGAAGCGGTTCAACCCCGAGATTGAATGGGTCAACCGCAACACACGGTTCGAACGGACGGTGAACGAGAGTAACATGAGTTACCTAGCACTTCTAATGACAGCAACAAAGGAGAAGAAGCCGAACTCGGAGCTACCTGCAGCGATGAAGGAGGTGTTGGAGCAGTACAAATATACCATGCCAGACGACCTACCTGTAGGAGTATCTCAAGCGCGCACCCACGAGCACGAGATCATGGAGGAACCAGGTGCGAAACCCGTCTCCCGTGCACCATACCGCCTTAGTCCGACCGAACTGACAGACATGAAAAAACAGATAGAGTATCTACTGGACAGACAACTGATCCGCCCATCCACCTCTCCCTACGGCGCACCAGTTCTCTTCACTCCAAAACCAGACGGCAGTTTACGGATGTGCATCGACTACCGCGCACTGAACAAACAGACAGTCATAGACGATCTTTTAGACCAACTGCGTGATGCAACGGTGTTCTCGAAGCTGGGCCAATGGTCGGGTTACTGGCAGATCGAGATGGCAGATAATTCGATCCACAAGATGGCGTTCCGTACCAGATACGGCTCCTACGAGTACTTAGTGATGCCGTTCGGACTCTGCAACGCACCAGCGACGTTCCAGGCGGAGATGAATCACATCCTACGGCCCCTGCTGGACGAATGCGTGGCCGTGTACTTGGACGACATTCTCATCTACTCCAAAAATATGAAGGAGCACGTAAAGCATCTGCGGAAAGTCTTCGAGATACTGCGAAAAAATAAGTTCTACGTGAAGCTGTCAAAAAGCGACTTCGCACTGAAGAAGGTGCAGTTTCTCGGGCACATGGTGAGTGCCGAGGGCGTACACGTGGACCCACGGAAAGTCGAAGCCGTCAAGATAAAGAAATTTCCTGAGAACGTGAAGGAGTTGCAGCAGTTCCTAGGCTTCGCCAACTACTACAACAGGTTCGTGCCACAGTACGCTAAGATAGCAGCGCCACTAATGAACTTACTGAAAAAGGATACGCCCTACAAATGGGATACTCCTCAACAGCAAGCCATGGAGCAGCTACAGACAGCACTGACTACAGCGCCAGTACTCATTCTACCGAACCCAGACAGAGATTACGTGGTGGAAGCAGACGCTAGTGACCAGGCAGTTTGCGCTATACTGATGCAGGATCACGGACGCGGTTTGCAGCCCATCGCCTACCTCAGTAAGAAGCTACACGGAGCAGAACTGAACTACCCCATCCATGACAAGGAAGCCTTAGCGATGGTCACAACTTTCAAAACGTGGAGGTGCTACCTAGAGGGAGCCAAAACTATAGTCTACACTGACCACTGTAGCATCAAATACCTGAAGTTGCAGCCGACGCTCTCACGACGACAGGTGCGGTGGGTGGACTTCCTGGAAACTCACTTCCACTACGACATCGTCTACAAACCCGGGCTACACAACAAAGCAGGCGCGTTGAGCCGCCTCGGGCACATAGCAGTCATCCAACTCGACGGGATGAACCCTCTGCTCAAGGGTCTATTCCAACATGGGTACTCCGTGGACGCAGAGATCGCTACAGCACAGAAACAGAAGCTGTTACAGTGGGAGAAGGACTTAGCGGTAAGGAAGGGTTTAGGAAAGTTTTGGTTACCGAAGTATGTGTCAGAGGTCCACTGGAGATCCCCGATGATCCTAGGGAAGGGTTACAGGCACGTCGGCCTGGGGGGTTATGGGCGCACTCACCCGCTATATAAACAAGCCCTTTTATCCCAGTGGTTAGTGACTGGGATTCTGACATGTTATCAGAGCGAAGGTCTCGGGTTCGATTCCCGGTGTGTGCACTTCGGGCATCCCAGTGCGGGGGGGTGTCAGAGGTCCACTGGGGATCCCCGATGATCCTAGGGAAGGGTTACAGGCATGTTGGCCTGGGGGGTTATGGGCGCACTCACCCGCTATATAAACAAGCCCTTTTATCCCAGTGGTTAGTGGCTGGGATTCTGACATGGTATCAGAGCGAAGGTCTCGGGTTCGATTCCCGGTGTGTGCACTTCGGGCATCCCAGTGCGGGGGGGTGTCAGAGGTCCACTGGAGATCCCCGATGATCCTAGGGAAGGGTTACAGGCACGTCGGCCTGGGGGGTTATGGGCGCACTCACCCGCTATATAAACAAGCCCTTTTATCCCAGTGGTTAGTGGCTGGGATTCTGACACTATGCCCCGCTACGGCAGATCCTACTGGAGGAGTTTCACGACGTATCATACGCGAGACATTTCGGTATTAACGAGACGTTAGCAGGGATAGCGAAGTATTACTACTGACCCCGGATGGCAGCAGACGTGCAACAGTTCGTCACCTCATGCGACACGTGCCAGCGGATGAAGAGTAGCAAGCAGAAAAAATCAGGGTTACTTCAGCCTCTACCCATACCGGAGCAGCCATGGCAAGTCCTCATGGGACTTCCTTCGACCTCACGAGGGCATGACGCTATTTTCGTGGTGATTGATAAGTTCTAAAAAATGGGTCATTTCATACCGACCAACGCCACAGCTACAGCTGAAGCAACTACTCGCCTCTTCTTCGACCGCATCATTACCATCCACGGCATCCCCGCTACACTCATCTCAGACAGAGACCCAAAATTCACTAGTAAGTTCTGGAGGGAACTCATGGGTTTGCTGGGGACAAAGCTTGCAATGTCTGAGCGACTCAATCATGTGGTTGAACAGTTACTGCGCAATGCTTGCAAATACGACATCAGCCACTGGGATCAACAGTTTCCGACCCAAGAGTTCGCTTACAACAACGCTCCGCATACGGCCACAGAAAAATCTCCTTTCTTTCTGTGTTACGGACGGGAACCACAGTAGCCAACCACCATGCAGCACACGACTTCGTCACCACCATGCAGCAACTATGGGAGAAGACTCAGCGACGTCTCACCACGATGCAGAACTTCCAGAAGCAGTATGCCGATCGACGGCGACGTGATTACTCGGAAGTAGTCGGAGATCAAGTGCTCCTCGACATGCGAAACTTGTCTCACCTACCATCCAAGCTCCGACCTCGCTTTTGCGGTCCCTTTTCCGTTGAGGCACAGGTGACACCAGTAACATTCCGCTAGCGCTTACCTTTTTTTTTTTTTTTTTTTTGAAAGTGAAAGCTCATACAGAAAAGCACAAGCGAAACACTACAGTTGTAACTGTGTCTGTAGGGCTCAAGCCAGGCGAAAGCCTAGCCCTCCCTGCGAGTTCATGGTGGTTTCGTGAAGGTCCTCGGATTCGTCCAGATGGACTGGAACCCATCCTGCCACCTCAGCCCTACTACCCCATTGTCACATATCCGCTTCATGACACGTGCCTCGTCATCAACCAAATTCCATCTCGCCTTATCCCTCTGCGCCTGCTTACTAGGCCTGCTACAGTAGATCCTTACGTGTTTGTTGAATTCCACGTTTATCCTCCGAAGCAACTTCCGAGCCAGAAACTTCCTTGCTTTTTGCAGTGACACATCACACCTCCCCAGCCAGATCTGGTGAACTGCCACCGCCACCATTGTTGCCTCCGGAAAACCGGACCTCGTCTCTTCCTTCCTGAATAGCAGGTCTGCCAGCCGGTCCACGTGTCTCTTCGGCTGCATCATGCCAAGTGCCAATTTGACACCAGCCACCACCGGCGCGACGCGCGAGCATTCCAACAAACAATGCTCCAGCGTCTCCTTTCCGCAGAGCGGGCAAGCATTCCCCCCTCTCAGAAACGGAACCCTCTCCCCCACCTGGAAATTCAGGTTCTGCGCGCGGAGCAGTACATCCCGCGCACGTAGCGGGGTTACCAGGGAATCCCTGATGCGCCTCCCCCAGTCCCAATCAATCTTTCTGCCCGCCCGAGCTTCCCAGCTCGCCCTCTTCTCCTCTACTGCTTCCGCGCTTTTGCTCGGCTCACTGAGTCGTTTCAGCGGAGCCACCTTGTCCTCCTCAAACAGGGTCGATCCCAACAGCCGCGTCCTACCATCCCCAATCTCCCTTACTGCTCGTGACTTAGAGAACGCCACCGGCACCACGCTGTCACACCCCAGCACAATTTTGACCTTCCAGGCCGTTCGCTCCCCATTCCCGTCTAGACCGCATAGCTCGACTTTCCTTCCCATGCAAGTGCAAATCTCCCATAGACACCTCTGACCTCCCGGGAGCTTAGTGCTCACCACCGGTGATTCGGCTGCGACCTTGTCCGCCGTCAGTGGCGCCAGCAGCCACCTCCTCCATTGCTCCGAAGCTGCCGCGAACGCCTTTAACGCCATCTCTGCTTCTTCCCCCCCCCCCCCAAGCTCTCTCTCTAGCGTTTCTTTCGACTTCAGCACCACCGTGCCGTCCCACTTCCGTGAAACCATATCCTGCATCTTCCACTTTCTTAGCTTCTCAGTGCCCTTCTGTCCGCCGAAGGGAGCATTTCCCCGGTGAATAATTCGCCTGTTGAAACAAAGAAACTCCTCCGCCACCTCCCATCTCGACGCCGCCTCTCTCACCTTCACCACCGTCGATTTAAGGACCGCTTTACAGATTCTTGCCCACCTTCTGCTTTGAATCAATCCCCCTTTTAACACCGCCTTGTGTGCGTACAGCGTCGCCCATCCCAGAGGCAGGCCCGCCGCCCGTTCCGCCAGCCCGCGCCGGAGAGAGCACTCTTGCAACAGCGTCAGCCCCACGCAGCGTAAGGCCACACTGTCGATCCTTCCGCGTGGGTCAATCACCCCCAGGCCCCCCAGCTCTCTTGGCGCATAAATCAGTCCGCCGCTCCATAATCTGAAATGCTTTTCTGTATCCGCGTGGTTGCCTGACACAAAATTTTCAATCAGCTTCTCGACCCTCCTCCACAGCAAGTCGTCCGGGGGATACACCTGCGCCTGGAAGAGAAATATAGGGATAATGTAGCTGTTGATGATGGTCACTCTCGCACCCGTCGTTAAATATTTCACTTGCCATTTGCTCAATTCCTCTGCCGCCCTGTCGAAGGCCTTTTCCCACGTAATCTCTGCATTTCCCCCGGGTGTAATCCACACCCCCAGCAATCTCTCTGCCATCTCTTTCTCCACCCACTTGTAGCCCAAACCAGCCGGCGCCGGTTCCCCCACATTCTTCCCCAGTGGAAGCACGGCAGACTTTCCAGCATTCACCTTCAGCCCTGACACTGCTGCGAAATCTTGTAGCACCGCGCCCGCCTCCAATAGTTCTGCCTCCCCTTCCAGCAACAGTGTGGTGTCATCTGCGTACCCCACGTATGCGAGTCTTTCACAACCTTTCTCTCCGATCCCCAGCTACCTCTTCTCCACCAAACGGCTTAGCGGCTCTACCGCGCACAAAAACAGGTAAGGTGCGAGCGGGCACCCTTGCCGCACCCCTTTCCGCATCTGGATCTGATCCCCGACCCATCCGTTAAGGCACAGCCTCGTGTGTACGTCCCTGTGCAGGCTCTCAATCCATCCCACAAAGCACGGAGGGAAGCCAAGCTTGGCTATCGTCTCCAGCATGAAACCCCTTCGTATCGAATCATACGCCTTCTCGAAGTCGATGAGTAGCAAATACCAGTCACTGCCTTCGTTCTTGGCTGTCTCAATCAAATCAGCGACCAACGGCACTGCGTCTGTAAGCCGTCTGCTGGGTAAAAAGCCAAACTGCTCCTTTGAAATCACTTGATCCAGCACCGCTTTCATCCTAGTCGCCATCACCTTCGATAGGATCTTGTAGACGCTAGTCAGCAGCGTTATTGGCCTGTAGTTTCTGACATCTGTCTCCTCCCCCTTCTTGTAAAGCAGAATCGTGACCGCTTCGTTCGCCACCTCCGGCAGCTTCCCTGATGTTACAAACTGCTCAACCATGTTCATCACCGGCTTCTTAAGCAACTCCCACTGGTATTGAAAAAGCTCCTTAGGGATGCCGTCACTGCCTGGCGACTTGTCATTGGCCAGCTCCCATATTGCTTGCTTAACCTCTGCCTCTGTCCAGTCCCTTGATATAGCTTCGGCAAATGCCTCCTCGAGTACCCTACGCGGGGTCTAGTCCAGCACCGGCTCTGCCTCATCACCCCCTGCCTGGTCGTCAAAAGCCTCCGCAAAATGACTCGTGGCCGCTGCCAGGATCTCCCGAGCTTCTGTATGACTTACACCATTCCGTACTAGTTCCTTAATCCCCGATTTTGCTTTCCTGATTTTAACCAGCGCCGAAAGAAGAGCGGTAGGTGCCTCACCATTCAGTTGCACCTTCAGCCCCATTCTTGTTTGCAGGAGATTTCGTCGGCCATCCCAGTACCTCTCCAGCATCGCCTCCCTGTTCGTCAGCAGTGCCTGCAACTTGTCATCACTCGGGTCACCCATCGCTTTTTGCTGCAGCGTGCTCACTTTCTCCTCCAGTGCGCGCCATGTCATTTTGACCCGCCTTCTCTCCTCCTTGTCGTATTTTCGCAGGCGAGCTCCCAGGCGTCTGGACAACTTGTCAAAGTCGTCACACCCCTCTGCTCCATGCCTCCGGATCACCTCAGCCACCGCCACTTCTACACCAGGGCGCTTCACCAGTCTAGCCGGAAAGCGCCAGACACCCGGGCCAGGTTCCTACGCACCCCTCCACACCAAACGCACACAGACTGCGCACTTATGATCAGTGATCCCCTTCGGAATCCGCCGATGAGCAACCCTGGCAACTAGATGCAACAACGACTGCGAGACCAGCACCCTGTCGATCCTTGAGCTGACTTTCGCTGATCCGCAGTAGAAGGTAAACTGTCGTTCGTCCGAATTTAGCTCCCTGAATACGTCCTTCACATGAAAATCTTGCAGCATGTGCATCATCCTGTTGTTGTCTCTTACCACTCCCTGACGATTTGACTTATCTAGCACCGTGTCTTCAATCATATTAAAATCGCCTGCTACCACCAGCTGCTCCCCTTTTGGCAGGTCTGCAACAACCATGCTAAACTCTGTTCCTAGGAAACTGCCCCTTGGAGGTGCCTGTGCTGGAAAATACACCGCCAACAATCTCATCTGCCTTGCACCCCACCGCACCCTCGCATGGAGCAACCTGCCCGACACATGCTGGTGGACGTCCTCTACTACCACCCCATCCCGGAAGCTCAAAATGGCCACCCCACCTGCCCTGGTAGGTGCTCCTACCGCGGCCACACTGTGAGGATTTAACTCTGTCCAAAAATTGTGATCCTCTGCCACTCTCGTATCCACTAGAATCACCACATCCGCAGCTGTTTTGATCCATCTCTTTAACGCTTGCCGCTTTCCTTCGCTCCCCAAACCGTTGATGTTCAGGGACAGAATGGTAAGGCGGTTGGTGTTACTCATTGTTTAACCACCGTTGAGCCCCCCTCGCATCCACAGGGCATTGAGACTGCAGCTGGTAATCCGACTATAAATCCTGGAGTACAACAAAAGCAACCGACGCCGCGACTAAAGCTCTCTAACCGCTCCGTACGTACTGTGTAAGATGTTCTGACACCACCTTCCCCCACAGCCTGGTCACAAAATAGCGTCACACCCCGAACTCCTTCCTCGCCGCCTGCAGCGCCACCCCAGCCTTTGAAACGCGCGATGCAAAGCCAGCTGACACCCCGTCGTTGTGCCTCTGTGAGACCACATGCTCTGCCGCTTGCGCAAAAGTAACTCCGTTCGCCTTCTCGCAGCACTCCTGCACGCAGATCCATTCATCGCGGTTCGCGCCGGTCGAAATCAGCACCACCGCCGGGTCCTTCGGAACGAGCCTGGTCAGATCTGTGATCTGGACTGAGGCGGCTGCGCGGATCCGAAACACCCACGACATTAGCACCACACCACTTGGAAACAGCAACAGCAGGTGAGCAAGCAGAAAATACCAACCATTACCGTTAATCCCATGCACCCGACCCAGGGACAGGCTCCATTTGCCGATGTTGTTCTGTCGTTCCACAACATACTCGTCATGATACCTTGTCATATGAAACCCCGAACAGTAGATACAACTCTGAGAGGGGTACTGGACCATAAGTTGCTTGTCATGCGTCGTCGGGTCGTCAATCTTGTGACGCTACCGGTACTTGTCACCAGCGTGCTGCATCACCAGACCTTTCAGCTTATCCGTATCCATACCCGTAACAGGGTTCACCACCCGGTGAAAGCAGCTCCCTTCCTTAAACGCAGAACTTCCCCTCTTCTCCAGTTTCACCGTCACCAGCATTTCCCGCAGCATCTCAGGTGTGATCACGGCATCCACTCCCTTAAACAGGACTTCCACCAACGATGGGTCTGCAGCCCGCACCTTCACCAACGATGGGTCTGCTGCCAGTCGAGGTTGATCCGCTTCCCATCCAGACACACGTGCACAATGCCGTGCTTCCACACAAAGTTCGCGTCCCGAGCACGCTCAAAGGTAACCTGCGGCCGACAATACTGCTTCACAATGCTTTCCATGTTCAGCTACTGAAGCCCTACAAGGACCCCAACCAACAGTTCCAGGGACGGCAGCTACTGCCACCACCACCTGTTCTCATACAGGATGAACCAGAGTACGAAGTGGAACGTGTTCTCACTCATCGGTGACGCAGCAGCACGACCCTCGAGTTGCTGATACGCTGGAAGGGTTATGACCCATCGGACGTCTGCAAGTTGATATGGGCAACGCACGCCGTGCTCTCAAGGACTATCTTGTCAAGCAGGGTGTTTCTCACGCCACCCAGCTTTGAGGGGGGGACGTGTGAGAGTACGACGGCTTACGCTAGCATTGCATGCTTGCCCTGATATTATTCTGCTATTTCTAGCTTAGGTTTATTTTATCATGCATGCTTATGCTTGATTTCCTAGGTTAGGTGCTTTCCTATATTTTATTATAGTTATAGCACCAAACCAGGTTGCGTGTACCGAATTCCAGGCCTTTCGGTTGCCACCGAATTGCCTTTTACCTAATTTAGAAAGGTTCTAATCGGGACGCTTCGCGACCCTCAGAACATTCGCGTAACACCTAGGTTACTGGCCTTGTACTGTACCCAAGTGAATCAATCAATTCATTGTACTTTTCTGAACTCGGTCCTCGATCCTCACACAAGTGCTGTCAGCAAGGGATGCTGCAGCAGTCCGAAGAATTGATGCTTCTGGAACAGTTGTGATACACGACAGCATAACGACAGGTTGCAGTTGAGTTTTTGCCAAAAGAGATTGGTTCTTCAATGGGTTTTCAATGCAGTTTACCCAGGGCGTTTTCTTAAGCACCACAACAGCGATGTTTCGCCACCGACAATCATTTCGACTGTGCAGCTGCTAAAATTCAGATAGGGTTCATGGCACTTGGTGTTCTTGACTACCCTTGGCATCAGGGTGGTTGGAGCTTTGTGCCTGCGCAGCTGTACTACATTGGTGGTCTACCCTTTTCTTCAGGGGGGGAAGATAGAGTGCTTTCGCACTGTACTTGGTAGTTTTCTGACAGTTTCATCTGACACATTCAGCACGACGGACGCTCGCGATGACTTAATCGACATCAGCGGTTCCTGATTCACTGACGTCTGACATCATGTCAGAATCCCGCCAACATCGCCAGCATCACTACCGTCCGATTCGTTTTCGCTACATCAACGATTTCAGTTTAATCGCGGATTTAGTTCGCCTCTGCAATCGCGATCGTCAGATCGACATTTGGGAAATTCGTCGGCTGACATTCCAACCTTTTAAAATTTTGTCTGGTCAATTGTCAGCCACGCATCAGCTCGACGGTCAATGCTTCTCTGCACCGTCAGATAAGTTTCAACCAAAGACCAGTTGTTTTCACGCTACTGAAAGACTCAGCTACGTATAAGGGGACCTTATTTCAAAGGTGGGAGAGTGTAATGAATATACAATTCATTACTGTAAGGATGCCCTTAGCAAGGACAGCCCCAAGCACTTCGCCCCGAACCAAATTCGAGTCGCCCCGAACCAAATTCGAGTCGCCCCGCACCAATCGCGACATTCCCAACCCATCCAGATCCCGCGGTCCTCGCCTAGCATCTTTCCGCCCTATATTTGCTCGCTCTTTTCATTATCTGGGCATTCTGTAATCGCATCCTTTTTATGAAGTCTTCCGCGCATTCTGTTTTAGTACAACTCATAACAGGCGGGAACAATGGTCGAGACGAGTGTTACAATGCACATTTGGGTACTGTTGGCGGACATAGTCGTGTACGCAATAAGTAGGGGCGCGAATCTTTAGTGCAATCTTCACTCGCTCCTTCGATTGCACCCACTGTAGCACAGAAAAAGTGTTCGGCACGTGGTAGCAGTGGTGAATTGAAGTACGGTAAGGAAAGGTAATTTGTGTTATGAGTTGTACTAAATAGGGTGCGCGGAATACTTTATAAAAAGGATGTGATTCCAGAATGACGAAATAATGAAAGAAGCAAACATTTATAGTGCGAATACGTGCTAGGCACGGGCCTTGGGATGTGCGTGGGTTGGAAGTGCCCCGATTGGTGTGGGGCGATTCGGAATGAGGTTTAGGCCAAAGTGTAGGCCGAACCCAAACTGACGCGAACTGTTCGGACTGTTCTCGTTAGGAGCAGCCTCTACAGTAATGTATTCTAAATCATTACACTCTCCACCTTCTAAATAAGGCCTCCTTATACGTAGCCGAGTCTTGCGGTAGCGTGAAAACTGCATATCTTCGGTTGAAACTGATCTGACGGCGTAGAAGGCGTTGACTGTCGAGTTGACGCGTAGCCAAGCGAATTTTGAAAGAGTTGGAATGTCAACCATTGATCTAGATTGGATAGTTGTCGTCGAAATGTCGAGCTGAAATACGTCGATGAATGAAAACCGTCGATCTAGCGGATGTGAGTCGGACGGTAGAGATGAACGCGATGTTGGCGGGGATTTCGACGTGTTGTCAGAGGTTGGCAAACAGGAACCGTGGATGGCGATCAAGGAATCGTCCGTCGTGCTGATGGAGTCTGACAAGACTGTCAGAAACCGTCGAGTGAGTACAGTGCAAAAAATACTCTCTCTCCCCCCTTAAAGAAAAGGGTAGACCACCAATGTAGTACAGCTTGTCAACGGGAGTTGTGTGTTGGCCCCGTCCTCGCTTGGGCGGAGCCGACTTCGTGGTCGGATGTGCGGGAGGTGCAGCCGACCTATAGCAGTGGGCGACGCCGACTTGGGCGAGCTGGTCAACGGGTTGGCCGACCTGCACGAGACCACTGCAATGCCGCCGACTATGGGACGCCGGCGGTCGTCATCAACCCGGTGGTTGACGAGGGAAGACGTCGACCTGGGAAGGGCGCCGACTTTGGGTGGGTGCCGACCTCGGGAGGTCGACCCGGGAGGTCCACTTAGGAGGGCGTCGACTTGGTGACGCCGACCTGGGGAAGCCGACTTGGTGTGGTCGGCTGACAGCGGGGCTGGTCGACCTGGAGCTAGTTGACCTGAGGTGTGGTCGACTTGGTGAGGTCGACCGGTGGTGGTCGTCGACCTGGGTGGTCGACGGACACGAGGAGAATCAGCTGGTCGACGTGGTTGCCCGGTCGACCTTGTTACCTATTCGATGAGGTTCTGCGGAGTAGTGCGACAGTCGCCCAGGTGGTTCTGGCGAGGCCGATCTTGGTGGTGGTATCCCGAGGTCGACGTGGCTGATCAGGTGCAGGCATCAGCACGTGGACAATTTGGTGTGTGCGCTGTGCAGGTGACGAGGCACAGCACGCCAATCATCTGCGAGCACCTGCGAAGCGGGTGCACTACTGTCCTGCGGGTGCAACGCTGTCCAGACGCCATGCTGCAGCGTTGGCACGTCGTCGACTTGCAGCGTTGGCAGACCGCGACTTTGCTGTGCTAGAGCGCGGTCGACCATGCAGTGGTGGAATGCGGTCGACCGTGCTGCGCTGGCAGTCAGCTTGCATGCTTGCTAGCATCTGATGTACTCTGTCTTGCCAACCTTGTTGCTACCATTTTACTGAATCATTGTTGTCAATCTTTGCTAGTGAAACTCTTGCCAATTCTCCCCCTGAAGGAGCAAGTAGAGTGAACACAAGCAAACGACTAAGGAACGCAGAGATCACCCTCACAACCGTGCCTATCTGGTAGACCAGCTAACGTTGTGTGAGTTATCTCCACACAGCTGCGCGGGCACGAAACTCCAACCACCCTGACGCCGGGGGTAGTCAAGAACACCTAGTGTTATGAAGCCCATCGATTTGCTTAGCAGCTGCACGTTCAAAATTGTCGGCGGTGGCGAAATCCCAATGGTAAAAGTTCTTGAAAGACCCAGGGTAAACCTCACGATGTCCCGTGAAGCGGCACCCCTTCGAAGAGTTGCCCGCGATGAAAACTCGTCCCGTTGTCGTATTGCTGCACCTGCACCCGAACATTCTCGAAACGCTGTAGCATCTTCAGTTGGCAGTGACAGCCATCCAAAAGTCTTCTCGTTGTTTTGTTGTCATGGCAGCATCAACTCCCGTGACTGTTGCAGCATCTCCAGCTGGCAGCAGGTGCAACCCGAATCGCTGTCTGTTTGTCGTTCGTGCAAACATGTTGATTCGTTATCGGTGGCAGACTGCAAAAGAACTGTCTTAAAAATTGTCAGCGTGACTCCGGATCGTGTAGGGTCGTCGTCCAAATTGTCGCGGCTAATCTGCGAAATCGTTGTAGCGCGTTCGCGACGATCGGCGAGAAGGGCGGATCACGTAACAAACCAAATGTCGCTCTTCAAAATTCCATCGAAATCCTATGCTTAGGGTCGGATGAAGACAGCACTCCCGGCTGCATTTGTCGTGGCTCGCCGAGGCATTTGTCCTGGCTCTCCGAAAACTCCGGGGCAGGGGCGAAAACAGTTGTCGTTCCTTCCCCTTGGCCGCCGAAGTATTTGTTCAAATTCAAACTCGAACTGCCAATGACTCAGCTACCTCTGTGACGTTGTCGTGAATCGCCGAGAACCTCCGGGCAGGGGCGAAAACACTTGTCGCCTTCTCCCCCCACTGTAGCAAAATTTCTCCCTGGTGATGTCGTTGGTACCCCCGAGCAGTTTCCGAGCTGTACGGCTACTCTTTTCACGACGGGTTCTTTCGCGCGCTTAATCAAGCACTGCTGCAACACCGCTGCTGGCACGGATTCTGTCGACCTCAAGGCCGACTCCGTTAAAACTCATCCTCGGAACTGCTTGTAGCACCCGCAAATGTCGGAAATGGAACCAAACCGTGCAAAATCTCCCAAAAGAACCGGTGTATTTAGCGTGCCCACCCGTCGCCATTTTCATCGCTTGTGGTAAACCACACAAGCAATCCACCAAAAGGAGGCGCTCTCTAGTATGGATCCCAGAACTATGGGTCTACCGGGACTAAATTTCACGGAACCTAGCCCGCATCAACAACGCAGATGTCGTCGTAGAACTTCCCCAGGTAAATTTTGAAGTACACCGTCAAATACTTAAACAGCTGGCGAGCAGACGTTCACCCGTCTCCCACCGTAGGAATTTCGCCCAAAAATCGCTGTTGCAGCAACAAGTCCCGAAGTCCTTTTCCGCCATGTAGCCCCGACGTTTTGGCGGTACTCCGACGTTCACCTGTCTTCATACCCGTCGAAACCATTTAACATATCCCAGGCATGCTTGGCAATGCACCTCTCGCCGTACTTCTATGTTTGAAACTTCCGACCCTTTCGACGTCCACCGAGTAGACTCCAAAATCCACGGTAGTGCTATGCACGGCTCAACCTCTCACTCAAGTGACTTGCTGGAGCACCCACGACTTTCCCTCCATTTTTTTGTCTTCACCCCTGCGACAATTTCGCTTGCCGCCGTTCACCCAGCGTCCGCTTTTGTCGGATGAGGTATAACTCCGTGTTGCCCGCGATTTTTATGGACGTTCGGTGAAGGCACATCGCTATCGTGGTCGGAGAGTGTTTATCATATCAAACGTTCAGGCCGACCGCTTGCTGCCCAGCATCTCTATCGCGTCTAAAACTCCACTGCTTCCAAAACTCCGTCTTCGCCGCTACATCGCCGTCGGGTAGACCGTTGAATTTGGAAAAACTCCGACAGCTGCACCAATTTCTTCAGCTCTGACTTTTTCGACAGGGTAACTGTTGCCGATGGCTTGGTTTTGTCGGGGCCAAAACAGTGTCGCATAGTTGAAAATTCTTTGTACTCCCAGCTGTCGAACTTGCGCACTTCCCGCACTTTTTAGCCAGCACATGGCTAAACACAGGGGCCCGTGTTATTCGTCAAGTGCCCTCCAGGACTGTCGCCACTTAGGCCGCCTTCAAAGCTACCTGGTGTAGGGTATGTGAAACGTTGTAAGACTTTGGTCGGTAGTTGGGCCCTGTCGGAATAGTAGGTATAGTGAGAGGCCATAGCTAGGAGAACCCTAGCTAGGCAAGAGAGAATTGAACGGAAGAGGGGTTTTGCACTAGCAACAACGGTGGTACAAATAGCTAACCCTAGAAGGGCTGTACTCGCTATAGAGCACCCCACTGCAGGCTAGAGCATAATATTCTGACAGGCCCTATCCGGCTACCACCACTTAGCCGCAAAACCCGGCATCAGCAAGAACTCTTTTTTATAGGTCGTTTTCTCCCCTCCTAAAGCGCAGAACCCGTTTCTCTCGCTGGACCCGCACTCGACGCAACTCCGAGTATTGTAGCTAGTAGAACCCCCGAAAATCGCGGGTCTAAACACTGCGCCGAATCGTTGTCCCGCCGGTGTACTGCCCTGTCTGTGGCGCAACTACCCTTGATCAGGGGGTACTGTGCCGCCTGAAGTACAGAATCTTCAGCTGCTGTTGTTCCAAAAATTTCGCCGATCTTGTTGCAGATGGAGTGACCCTGACGATAGAAAGTCTAATCGTATGCGGCTTTTCCCGAACTTTTCGGTGGATTGAAAAACAACTTCCGTCCCACAGTGTGCCACTCTGCCGAAAATGCCAACAACGCACTCCTTCAGCCATGCCAGCTGTCAGAATCCCAGCCACTAACCACTGGGATAAAAGGGCTTGTTATAGTAGCGGGTGAGTGCGCCCATAACCCCCCAGGCCAACGTGCCTGTAACCCTTCCCTAGGATCAATCGGGGATCACCAGTGGACCTCTGACACCCCCCCGCACTGGGATGCCCGAGGTGCACACACCGGGATTCGAACCCGAGACCTTCGCTCTGATACCATGTCAGAATCCCAGCCACTAACCACTGGGATAAAAGGGCTTGTTATAGTAGCGGGTGAGTGCGCCCATAACCCCCCAGGCCAACGTGCCTGTAACCCTTCCCTAGGATCAATCGGGGATCACCAGTGGACCTCTGACACCAGCTGCACCCGGGCGGGACGACGGTAGACCCCCGCTTTCTTCGGGCAGTCGCCACGCCGTCTCTCCTCACCATGTGCTTGGCCTGCCTGGCCGGTTGTCGTTTCTCCTGTGAAGCCACTTGAAATCTTCGCGCAGAGTGACGACGATCGCCACTTGCCGAAGACCTTCGAGATTCGTATGCGCAACGTGACGATTACGCCTGATGACACTTGCCGCACGCATTAAAAGAGTGTTCAAAGTAGACTGTCAACATCCGTCGATTGATGTCGACAAATCCTGACGGTTGGAACCCTTGATCCGAGGGCTGACATTCACCGACATCCCCAAACGGGTGTCGATGTTCCACTTTGAACACGCTTTTACTCCGACTTTGTCGCGCGCAGTTGGCGACCACGTGAAGATGCCAACTAGCACAACGTTTCTTCCGACGATCTCGTACGTGCGCCGACGACGAGTCTGCTGACGCCAGCCGCTACACAGAATCCAAAGTCCTGAGATTGACGGAAATCGCAAACAGTTAATTCACGTAATTAATGCGCGACAACCACATCTGCCCACCACCCGAGGGGAGGAAGGTCACGATCGATCTCGATCGTCAAGGGCAAGGATTCGGCGGTGCCGAAGGATCGCATGTGAAAATCACGGCTGCGATGAGCAACTACCCGTTCTCCTAGCCGGATATCGCGCAACTCGTGGACCCCACAGCATCCTTCCCTGTCCTCCCCCGAGGGGTATTACACTCTAAAAAGCAAGGTGAGCTAGGAAAGTAGCTCTGAAGCGGGGTGAGCGAAGTGTTATGAGTTGTACTAAACAGAGTGCGCGAAAGACTTTATACAAAGGATGTGATGTGAGATCGTGCAAGAAGCGAGCATTTATAGGGCGAACACGTGCTAGGCACGTGTCAGAATATTATGCTGTAGCCTGTAGTGGGGTGCTCTATAGCGAGTACAACCCTTCTAGGGTTTGCTATTTGTATCCCCATTCTTGCTAGTGCAACCCCTCCTTTGTTCATTTCTTGCTTGCCTAGCTAGGTCAACCCTAGCTATGGCTTCTCACTGTCCTTACTATCTTGACAGCACGGACCTCAGGATGTGCGTGGGTTGGAAGTGTCGCGATTGGTGCGGGGCGACTCGGAATGTGGTTTGGGCCGAAGTGTAGGCCGAACCCAAACTGACGCGAACTGTTCGGGCATTCCTCGCTATGAGCAGCCTCTATAGTGGTGAATTGTAATTCATTACAATTTGATTGGTTGGTTGCTGAGTAGAGAACCTCGTTATTGACTTTTGAACTCATAAGAGATGCAGTGGCGCGAATCGCAAGCAAACTACCGTGCCTGGGTTGGCTCCCATCACCACCGCGTTGGCGAATCAAACACGGCCAAGGTGCGCTTCCCTCTGCCACATGGCGTGCCTTGTGCTTCGAACATGCTTGTGTGTTCGCTCGCGCCGCTATCTTGGATAAACCGAGACGCGGATGGTGCGAGTGAGATGGGCCCAGCATTTTCATCACAACAGATTTTGCCCCACCGACCACTCACTTTCATCTCCCCTCGAGTCCCTGTCCACTCTCCAGCCATATGACCAGGTCCAGCTATAACTCCGTAATTGCCAGTCACTGGCTTGCGAAGAGGATACCTCACGCTCGGCCTACCCTAGCTTCCAGGCAACACACTCGCGTGGTTGGCCCTGGATTTTCCGTCCGTAGTCATGCGTCTTGAACAACTCTCGCTGCTCCTTCCCTTCACAGTTGCGCTCCTCGCCACTCTCGTTTGCCCGACGGCTGGCACTCAGCGGCGGGAGTTGCGGAAGGCGCAGCCAACAGCGCCGCCCAACGCCACGCTCGTCCTGCTTGCCAACAACACGTTCGGCGCTAAATGCCTCGACGGAAGGTATGCACGACGACTGAGAGATTTCATGGAAAGGTGTATAGCGAAGGAGCTGTCTACGACGGAGGCGGTGCAAAAGCACCGCGCATTCCGTCGGAACGAGCATGCTCGCGCAGGAAGAGTAGACATTAAGAATCTCTCTGCCACCGAATCTTGTGCAGACCCGCCCAACAGAAGTAGCCCCGCTGCTCGCGTCTGCCCTCTACGGCCTACAAGAGCGCGGGCTTTTGCGCATTCGGGGCGACGGTTTTTTTTGCCTTCATTCCTCCCACGTCAGCCTAGGGATTAGTACCGACCACGCATTCCCTCGCACCCCGGTGGACTGAGGCGCGACGGGGTTTCCAGGCGTCGCTGGAAGAGTGGGCCGTAGCGCCACTGTCGTAGCGCCATCATGGCCGGTTGCGAGCTGGCGAGAGTGGCTTTGCTCGAATCGCGGAGATTGGAAATGAAGAGTGACACTCGTTTCTCTGCATTTTCACTTCCCCCTGCCTATCCCCTTCCAACTTGCTCTGCGACGCCTTCCCATCGCGTCGCGTCTCGCTCCTCTACCCGACCGCCATCTCTCTCCTATTTCCCCGCACGCGTTGTGGCGCGGAGGGGTCATGGGCTCACTCACCCGCGGGAGCGCCGCCACGCGCAGCAGCGGATCGCCGCAGCCGCCACTTCCGCCTTCGAGCGCATTCGACCCGTCCCGAAGCCTCTCACTACCCAACCCCCCGACTTCTCCCCTCCCTCGCCCCGCGCAGTCCCCCCGGGTACTACTTCCGCCCAGGCGCGGCAGCGGGTCGTCTGCGGTGGCACATCTACCTGCCCGGGGGCGCGTGGTGCGTCACCCCCGCCGATTGCGCCGCCAGGGCCGGCACGCGCCTGGGGTCCAGCAAGAGCTTTCCCGCCAACCCCGCGCACTATGTGAGACATCCCGACCCCGCCAGTCACGCGGGTTCCATATTCGTAGCTGCCGGGCTCCTATGGACCTTCCAACAGGAAGCGTTCCAACAGCAGAGCGTTCCAACAGGAAGACCCGTTTTCCTGTATTCTTGTGTTGGCTCGTCCAGTTTCCGTAATGTTCCCCCATTCCTTATCCCTTGTGCAAGCCTTTCTCTCTTCTCATTCCTTATCCCTTGTGCAAGCCTTTCTCTCTTCTCATTCCTTATCCCTTGTGCAAGCCTTTCTCTCTTCTCATTCCTTATCCCTTGTGCAAGCCTTTCTCTCTTCTCATTCCTTATCCCTTGTGCAAGCCTTTCTCTCTTCCCATTCCTTATCCCTTGTGCAAGCCTTTCTCTCTTCTCATTCCTTATCCCTTGTGCAAGCCTTTCTCTCTTCTCATTCCTTATCCCTTGTGCAAGCCTTTCTCTCTTCTCATTCCTTATCCCTTGTGCAAGCTTTTCTCTCTTCTCATTCTGGCTGAAAGAAATCGAACTCTTTTTGATTCCCCCATCCGCCCACGCGCATCCCCCCTTCTCCCATTCCCCAATGTCCATCATCCCAAACCCCCATTTCCCCGCGCACATCCCCCCCATCTCGCCATTCCGCCACACATATCCCCCCATCACGGCATGCCATCGTCCGATGCCCCTTAGAACACGTGACTCTCACAGTTTTCCCTTCACGCTCCTCTGCCCGACACCCCACCCTCCTCCCACCCTCCACGTGGCTGCAGGCGGCGCAGCTGAGGCCGCCGTTGGAGGGCATTCTGTCGAGCAGCGCGGGGGAGAACCCGGCGCTGTACCAGTGGAACCTCGTGCGCCTCATCTACTGCGACGGGGGTGGGTACGCCGGCACCAGGGGCGCCCTCAACGTCTCCCTCGCTCCCCCTGCTGCTGCCGCCCAACGCAATGCAAGCTCCGCTGGAAACTCAATTAGCCCGTCAACGGGGTCTACCAAGTCAACCAAGTCATCCGCACTGCCCACGGCAGCCATCTACCTGGACGGGTGGAACATCATTCAGGCGGTCATTCAAGGTGCACCACTCCCTTCGCCCTCGCCACTGTGCTCTCCGCGTGGCCCCTTGGCTGTGCGCAGTGTCTTGTGGCTCACAGTGACGTGGCACCATCCACTCACCACCCGCTCTCCCTCTCTTCCTTTTCGCCCCGCCTTGCCCTCGCCCTCCTCTCTTTTCCTCTCACCTCTGTCGTTTCGTCTCACCTCTGTCGTTTCGTCTCACCTCTGTCGTTTCGTCTCACCTCTGTCGTTTCGTCTCACCTCTGTCGTTTCGTCTCACCTCTGTCGTTTCGTCTCACCTCTGTCGTTTCGTCTCACCTCTGTCGTTTCGTCTCACCTCTGTCGTTTCGTCTCACCTCTGTCGTTTCGTCTCACCTCTGTCGTTTCGTCTCACCTCTGTCGTTTCGTCTCACCTCTGTCGTTTCGTCTCACCTCTGTCGTTTCGTCTCACCTCTGTCGTTTCGTCTCACCTCTGTCGTTTCGTCTCACCTCTGTCCTTTCGACTTACCTCTGTCGTTTCGTCTCACCTCTGTCGTTTCGTCTCACCTCTGTCGTTTCGTCTCACCTCTGTCGTTTCGTCTCACCTCTGTCGTTTCGTCTCACCTCTGTCGTTTCGTCTCACCTCTGTCGTTTCGTCTCACCTCTGTCGTTTTGTCTCACCTCTGTCCTTTCGACTTACCTCTGTCGTTTCGTCTCACCTCTGTCGTTTCGTCTCACCTCTGTCGTTTCGTCTCACCTCTGTCGTTTCGTCTCACCTCTGTCGTTTCGTCTCACCTCTGTCGTTTCGTCTCACCTCTGTCGTTTCGTCTCACCTCTGTCGTTTCGTCTCACCTCTGTCGTTTCGTCTCACCTCTGTCGTTTCGTCTCACCTCTGTCGTTTCGTCTCACCTCTGTCGTTTCGTCTCACCTCTGTCGTTTCGTCTCACCTCTGTCGTTTCGTCTCACCTCTGTCGTTTCGTCTCACCTCTGTCCTTTCGACTTACCTCTGTCGTTTCGTCTCACCTCTGTCGTTTCGTCTCACCTCTGTCGTTTCGTCTCACCTCTGTCGTTTCGTCTCACCTCTGTCGTTTCATCTGACCTCCCTTGACGCAGTGCTGCCTGCTCTCCATCCCGTCGCTCTTCTCTCCCATCCTGTCTCCTTGCTCTCCCCTCCTCCCTGCCTCGCCTCCGCCCTTCCTGCCATGCAGATCTCGTGCAGAAGCGCGGGATGCGCTCAGCCTCACAGATTTTGCTTTCGGGCAGCTCAGCGGGCGGGCAGGCGACAGTGAACCTTTGTGATTGGCTGGCGTCGTCCTTCCCATCTGCCTCCACACGCTGCCTCGTGGACTTGGGCTTCTTCCTTGGTATGCTGACACCGTTCTTCACATGTTTTTCTCCATGAGCTTACAACACTGTTCTATGTGCTCTTCAGAGTGTGGCTTCCAGGTGACAAGAGACAAGCCTGCAACACTAAAGCTCAAGTGTCAGGTAGCTTCAGTGTTTTGCTGAAGGGGGGAATCCGTCTTGGCTCTAGAGCGTGTGCTAACCTCACCAGCTACAATGCGTGGAGGTAACCGCTTTGAGGCAGTGAGGTGCGGTGAGTGTGCTGTCTCCCAGCGGTGCATGGAGTGTGTGGACGAGGCAGGCACAGGTTCATCACCTCGTGCACCACTGAAGGCGCCTTCCTGTGACTTCCCTCTCCACCTCTTTCTCCCTCTTTCAAGCCACCCCCTCGCCCCATCAACCCTTAGTCGTGCAACCCCCTCCGCCCGTGAACCCCATTCCCCTTCCCCGCCACAGACACGCGTGACCGTGCCATGAACTACACCTTTCGCTCGCTGGCTCAGAACCTCACCGCACTGCACCGCCCCTCCAACCCCACCTGCCCTTACGGTACCTCATCTGCTCCCATGCTACCTCATCTGCTCCCATGCTACCTCATCTGCTCCCATGCTACCTCATCTGCTCCCATGCTACCTCATCTGCTCCCATGCTACCTCATCTGCTCCCATGCTACCTCATCTGCTCCCATGCTACCTCATCTGCTCCCATGCTACCTCATCTGCTCCCATGCTACCTCATCTGCTCCCATGCTACCTCATCTGCTCCCATGCTACCTCATCTGCTCCCATGCTACCTCATCTGCTCCCATGCTACCTCATCTGCTCCCATGCTACCTCATCTGCTCCCATGCTACCTCATCTGCTCCCATGCTACCTCATCTGCTCCCATGCTACCTCATCTGCTCCCATGCTACCTCATCTGCTCCCATGCTACCTCATCTGCTCCCATGCTACCTCATCTGCTCCCATGCTACCTCATCTGCTCCCATGCTACCTCATCTGCTCCCATGCTACCTCATCTGCTCCCATGCTACCTCATCTGCTCCCATGCTACCTCATCTGCTCCCATGCTACCTCATCTGCTCCCATGCTACCTCATCTGCTCCCATGCTACCTCATCTGCTCCCATGCTACCTCATCTGCTCCCATGCTACCTCATCTGCTCCCATGCTACCTCATCTGCTCCCATGCTACCTCATCTGCTCCCATGCTACCTCATCTGCTCCCATGCTACCTCATCTGCTCCCATGCTACCTCATCTGCTCCCATGCTACCTCATCTGCTCCCATGCTACCTCATCTGCTCCCATGCTACCTCATCTGCTCCCATGCTACCTCATCTGCTCCCATGCTACCTCATCTGCTCCCATGCTACCTCATCTGCTCCCATGCTACCTCATCTGCTCCCATGCTACCTCATCTGCTCCCATGCTACCTCATCTGCTCCCATGCTACCTCATCTGCTCCCATGCTACCTCATCTGCTCCCATGCTACCTCATCTGCTCCCATGCTACCTCATCTGCTCCCATGCTACCTCATCTGCTCCCATGCTACCTCATCTGCTCCCATGCTACCTCATCTGCTCCCATGCTACCTCATCTGCTCCCATGCTACCTCATCTGCTCCCATGCTACCTCATCTGCTCCCATGCTACCTCATCTGCTCCCATGCTACCTCATCTGCTCCCATGCTACCTCATCTGCTCCCATGCTACCTCATCTGCTCCCATGCTACCTCATCTGCTCCCATGCTACCTCATCTGCTCCCATGCTACCTCATCTGCTCCCATGCTACCTCATCTGCTCCCATGCTACCTCATCTGCTCCCATGCTACCTCATCTGCTCCCATGCTACCTCATCTGCTCCCATGCTACCTCATCTGCTCCCATGCTACCTCATCTGCTCCCATGCTACCTCATCTGCTCCCATGCTACCTCATCTGCTCCCATGCTACCTCATCTGCTCCCATGCTACCTCATCTGCTCCCATGCTACCTCATCTGCTCCCATGCTACCTCATCTGCTCCCATGCTACCTCATCTGCTCCCATGCTACCTCATCTGCTCCCATGCTACCTCATCTGCTCCCATGCTACCTCATCTGCTCCCATGCTACCTCATCTGCTCCCATGCTACCTCATCTGCTCCCATGCTACCTCATCTGCTCCCATGCTACCTCATCTGCTCCCATGCTACCTCATCTGCTCCCATGCTACCTCATCTGCTCCCATGCTACCTCATCTGCTCCCATGCTACCTCATCTGCTCCCATGCTACCTCATCTGCTCCCATGCTACCTCATCTGCTCCCATGCTACCTCATCTGCTCCCATGCTACCTCATCTGCTCCCATGCTACCTCATCTGCTCCCATGCTACCTCATCTGCTGTCATGACACCTCATCTGCCCCCATGCTACCTCATCTGCTGTCATGATACCCTGACCCTCCCTTTCCCATTCCGGATCAACCCCTTTTTTTCCATCCCTTTGGCCCCCCCTCTCCCTGATGCAGCAGCGAGGCCAACACAGCAGTGGCGGTGCTTCTTCCCACAGTACACTCTTCACAACACCTCCACGCCACTCTTCCTCTTCCACACGCCCTTTGACTATGTAGCAGCCATAATCGGTAACCTGCTGCCTAGTAACAACACCTACGCAATCAGCTGCCTGAAGGAGATGATCAACAGCCAAAAAAATCTCCCAAGCATTGTGAGGAACAAGGCGTGGAGCAGCATAAGGTGGAACGCAAGCTCTGCATGCTCGCAGACTGAACGTGAAACTCTAATCTGGACAGCATTTGGACTGTACGACCAAGTGAAGGTTCTTTCGCAAGAAAGGTCTTCTATAGGAGCGTTCATTCCATTTTCATACGTGCATTCTGCCATTACGAATTCTTATTGGAATATTCCGTGGATAAATGGTACGTCATTATCAAATGTTTTCAACGTATGGTCAAGCATTGTGCTTCAAAATATTTCCATCATAGTAGCTCAATGATGTTACCGAAACATTTTTTTGTGCTACCACCATTGTGTTATGCATTATTGTCAGGAAATTTTCAGCACTACTTCCTGCGCATCTCAACATCGCATGCAGGACTACCATATGGTTTCGGCTAAAAGACCCGCCGGTAAGAAGGTCCCCCGGGACTCTTCAATGGGTAGGGGGACTCTTATTGCGGCAGGTTTTGTGAGGACCCCCCTCTTGCCCCTAAACATCATAAGACCCTCCTTCACTGTATATACCGGTAGTAGTTATGAATGCTACTGTAATCTCCCGGATACAGTACCCCCCCGCGGAGAAGACCCTGGGTCCTCTTTCCGGACCAAGGGTCTTTTATTCCGACCTGTTCTCGTAAAGACCCCTCTTTTTTAAATAAATATTTTAAGACCCCCCCTCCTTTGTCAAACTTTCAAAAAAATGTTACCGTCACCCCCCGGATATACCCCCATGGGGGGGTGTAATAAAACATGTTTTTTAGGGGGGGTGGGCTTATAATCGAGTAAATTTATAAGCGCAGGCGCTTATAAAACGACATATAGATATTCATTATTTTCCAACACCAAACTGTAGATCTCGTGCTTGCCTTTTCAATCGAGTCGAAGTTACATGGGGTCTTTCGTGAAATTCTCGCGCGCGTTGGGAGATACACTTAATCTGACTCACAAGGTCCCCCTGACAGCTCCTGCTGACTGGACTCGCATCCAGTGCAGGGTTCGAAAGTGAAACGAACCGAATTTGCAACACATCCTCCTTCTAAAGTAACAATCGTTACAGTGTGTTGAACCAATTTCAAAATTTAAAGTTTACGTGCGCTTATAATAAAACAAGTTTTTTCAGGGGGTGCGCTTATAATCGAGGAGGGGATATAAGCGCCATATGCCAATTAGAAGCGCCAGGCGCTTATCCTAGGGTGGCGCTTATATCCGGGGGGTGACGGTATATTCTTAACGAATCTGGGGGGTTGCTAGTGCTCGGCTGACTCCTCATCGGGCACAAAATGGTGACGTGAGTCAGTTTCACGTCAAATTCCAGTCAGGATTCGATTTTGCGTGGATTTTACTGTTGAGATTCGAATCCGCGTCAGGGAAAGAATTGAGCACCCTCGGTAAAAGCTTGACTTTCTAGTGTTATGAGTGAATACATTGTGCTCTATGAATTTTTAATGTGTTCAGGGGTCTTAATAAATATGCCCCTTGGTATTCTTCACCCAATCAAGTTTCACAACATTTTTGATGAGACCCTCGCCCGGGTCCTATATACGGGAGATTACGGTATTGTGAGTCAGCTTTTTGTCAGAATCCCAGTCACTAACCACTGGGATAAAAGGGCTTATTTGTGTAGCGGGTGAGTGCGCCCATAACCCCCCAGGCCAACGTGCCTGTAACCCTTCCCTAGGATCAATCGGGGATCACCAGTGGACCTCTGACACCCCCCCGCACTGGGATGCCCGAGGTGCACACACCGGGATTCGAACCCGAGATCTTCGCTCTGATACCATGTCAGAATCCCAGTCACTAACCACTGGGATAAAAGGGCTTATTTGTGTAGCGGGTGAGTGCGCCCATAACCCCCCAGGCCAACGTGCCTGTAACCCTTCCCTAGGATCAATCGGGGATCACCAGTGGACCTCTTACACTTTTATTGGCACAAATTCGATTTCTGAGCAGTACACCCTAAATAACAGATTGATAATTCTTGAAACATTTGCAGGTACTCGCGCAATGTGCGCTTCGGCACAATATTGTACGCGCTATGAACAGTGCAAGCAGAAAGGACGAGCTCGCAAAGGAACCCAGGATGGAAGCTTTGCGGTTCGGTTGAATTGATTGCGCAAATTCAGTTTGTACTGTTTTGCTTGGCCGACTATAGTGTAGCAGGGCAGGCACTATAGGGGTACAATTTAGGTGAAGGTTGGATGTTGTTTGTCTATATCTGCATGCTACAGGACCAGGAAAAACCAACGGAACCAGCATTTGGCTGGTTGGGCAAAGACAAAACAGGTTCTGTTTTTAGAACCTGAACCTGGTTGTTATTTTCCCAGGTTGGAAAAACAGAACCAAAGGTTGTTAACCAACCAACCATCTGCTATTTTGTCCAGCTAGGATGGTTCGGTTGCTTGGAATTATTTGGGATCATTCCTGGTTGTTCCTAGGTTGATTCCCAAGGTCCTTGCTAGCTAGAACTATTTATTCCTTTTTTGTTTGTACCTGGATATAGTCAAATTGATTCAAGCGAATTCTTTCCTCGCTGGAATTTCGTTTCTGCACTATTCGACGGCGGAATGCTACCCGAGTCAACGCTACTATGCTAGCACTTCAACGCTTGCAAACGCTGTCCGAGCCATAAGTTAGTAATGGCCGAACTTTTCGCGAGGCAACTTGGCTTATTTTAAAGCTCTTGGAGCGAGCTTCGATATAGCGAATTCTCAGCTTAATCCGATCGACAGTCTGCACGGCACGCTGCGCGACGTTCAAGGTACTCTCGTTATTTTGGCTAAGTCATTCTTGGTTCCTCTCTCTACAAACTCGGACTTGATGATAGGGGTTGGTCT